TCTTTTGCTGTGCAGAAGCTTTTTATTTTGATGTAGTCCCATTTGTTTATTTTCTCCTTAGTTTTGTTTGCTCTAGGAGATGTATCCATAAACATATTGCTACGAGAGATGTCTGAGATTTTGTTGTCTATGGTTTCTTCTAGTATTTTTATGGTTTCTTCTAGGATTTTTATTGTTTCATGACTTACATTTAAGTCTTTTATCCATTTTGAGTTTATTCTTGTATATGTTGTACTTTGGTGCTCTAGTTTCATTTTTTTGTATGCATTTGTCCAATTTTCCCAATACCATTTATTAAAGAGACTATCTTGACTCCATTGTATGTTCTTGCCACCTTTGTCAAATATTAATTGAGCGTATTGGTTGGGGCTGATTTCTGGGCTCTCTATTCTATTCCATTGATCTATATGTCTGATCTTGTGCCAGTACCAGGCAGTTTTGAGAACAGTGGCTTTGTAATACAGCTTGATATCTGGTATTGAGATCCCACCTACTTTGTTCTTTCTCAGGATAAAAAGAAGTGTTTTTTACATTCTCCCATGATCCTCTGTGGCTTGAAGGACTGTACAGGTTCCTTCCCAGCTGGGGGCGATGCTGCCCAGAGGCAGGGCTGGGGGAAGCCGGCGATGCTGAGTGCTGCCCGGGCTGGGACGTGTGGTGGCCATCACTCCAGGAGCCCCTGCTGCCCTGGCAGGCGCTCTCCACTGAATAGTCTCTAACTAGACAACAACAAACACTTTAAAAAATGTGGTCTGCAGGACCTCCTGGTCTTACTGTGCTCACTGCCTCCGAAACAAGCTCGCAGAGACCTTTGTTGTATGGGGGTCACTAATGACTATGCAAGGCAACAGGAGACCGCCCCTCGTGACCAGCTGCCCGGCAGCTCCTGTGACGTGAGGCTCTGAGCCTGTTTGCTGCTGGAGAGCACGCTGAGGTTCCCAGCAGCTGGGCCATGGAGAAGGGAGTGGCCACCGCAGGGCTGCAAGCCCCCTCCAGGCTGGTGCCGGCCACTTCCCTGCTACCAGGACGCCAGGCCTGGAGTCATGGCTAACTGCTCTGACCCTCAGCATCTTTCTCTCTAGGACGGAGATAGACTCGCACATACCTCCCAGAGCCATTGTGAGAATCAAGTAAGAATAATGCAGGCGAAGCTAACACTAGGCCTCGCAGAGCACATATTCAACAAAAGGAAGCTTTCATTACTCCTCGGGTGACAGTCTGGAGCTTGGCCGATCCCTAGGGGACGGAATGCTTGAATAGAGAGGAGTTCGTCTGGCAGGGCTCAGCGGCTGAGCATAGAACCATGAACCAGGAGGTCAGAGTTCGATTCCTGGTCAGGGCACAGGCCCCGGATGTGGGCTCAATCCCCAGTGGGGGTCGGGGGGGGGCGTGCAGGAGGCAGCTGATCAATGATTCTCTCTCATCATTGATGTTTCTATTTATCTTTTCCTCTCTCTCTGAAATCAATAAAAACATTTAAAAAGAAAGTGTGAAAAATTTAAAATTGGAAAACTGTTTGGATTGATTTATAGAGGTGACTGGGTGACAACACAGACAGATTAATAAAATTGAAGACAGTTTTATTACATATCGCAGTCCCCAAAACAAGGGTCATGCCCTGCCACCCAAGGCCACCTGGGGAGGCACCAGGGGTTGGTCAAGAGGCAGAGGGAGCGAGAGGAAATCATGGCCCGGAAATGTACTATGGTTTCCACGGAAGGAAGGGGCAAACCAGGAGAGGTAACTTGAAGCAGGTTTGGGATTGAGTCGTTTCAGTGGGCTCTGTGGCATAGGGGTGGGGTCTGTCTGTCTGGTACCTGGCTCTGGGGTGATTTAGGGCAGGGGAAATATTGGCTTGATGGGTGAGTTAAAGGAAGTGGTTGGGGATGCAGCTTTGGATTGCTGGTTTGCATACAAAAGGCCTGTTCAGGGGCAAGTTTAGGATCCCTAGGGATTATCTACACCACAGGACGGGCAGCCTCTCCAGGAATAGCAAGACCTCGGGATGTCAAAGAATCATAAAATACAGAAAATTTAAAACATGATTAATATACATTGCAGGTCTAACATTTAAAGCCCTCCTACCCCAAGCTGTTGTGGTCAGCTGCTGATGTGTGTCCTTGAGAGTGTCAAGCAAAGTTCAATGCCCTTGTATTGGGGACCCTGGAAAAGGGGTGCATGTGACTACAGGGAGGCACTGGGTACGGGTTTGAAAGGCCTCTTTAGAACACTGCTCCCACGGGCTCAAACAAGGTGCTTATTTAGTGACTGGGAAGTTCAAGGGTTCGGGTATAGTGGGCCCAGGAGCACAGCCGTCATCAGAAATCCGCCTTCGCTGCTGCTGAGCTGTAGTTTCCTGTGTTGGCTTCACTCTGTTTAGCAAACCCCACGAGGTAAAAGGATACATGTCTCCAGGCTGTTCCAGGGTGAGCACTGGGGTTGAATTCTGTGGTCAGAGTTTTGGGGTAAGTGCCATCCCTGTGGCCAGGAGGAGGGAGCACCCTGAGTGGCCAGCCTAGGTGCTGCCCTCCTGCCGCCGGGGCAGTGGGAGGACTCCGCCCAGAGCACACACAGAGGGGCAGCCGGCCTGAGGGGCCTTTGACAAAAGTGGGGGTGCTTGGACCGTGGGCGGACTCAACGTGACACCAGCGTGATCTTTAGCTCCCGACAGCTACCAAAGCTCTGCGTCTCCAGGATCCCGGGGGGCGCTCGGACCTGGGTGACCGCGTGTTCTCCCCCACCAGGCCCGGGGGACGCTCCAGAACC